GCGCTGCCGCACCCGTATCTGCGCGCTCGCCTGCTGCCGCCCGCATGGGGTTCAGCTTCCCGGGGCAGGCAGACGCCGCGTTGGACGCTGCAGCAGGCGGGGCAGGGCAGCACGGCGCATGGGAGAGGGTTGCAGCGGCAGGGCGAGGTGGAGGAGGCGAGGGCGGACGCATGGATGCCAGAGCGGACGCAGCAGGGGGTGCAGGTGGTGGGGGTGCGGTGCAGGGCAGGGCAGGGCGCAGCCGGCGCAGAACACAGAGTTTCACGTGTGGGGATGCGAGCACAGGGCGCATGCTGGAGGAGGTGCTGCGGCAGGCGAGCAGGGAGCAGCAGGCAGGCCAGCTACCCTCCAGCAGACTCGGTGCTGCTGGCCCCCACGCCCATGCCACCGCTGCCCTTGCAGCCGCCTCTGCACTGGTTGGTGCGAGGGGCAGCAATGGTGGTGGTGAGGAGCGTCGCTGTGACGAGGCTCATGTTGGCACAGGCTCCCGTGTTGACAGTGCGCAACAGAGCAGCGGCAGGGTTACAGCCGTAACAGCAGCAGTGGCAGCTGCGGCAGCGGCAGTGGCAGCAGCGGCAGCTGTTGCAGAAAAGGGTGCAGAGGAAGTCTCCTCAGGTTCAGATGGGTGGATGTTTCCATTCGGTCTTCGGGCTTCTCATGACCCTCATCCACTCCCCCTGCTGCAGCAGCAGCAGCAGCAGCAGCAGCAGCAGCAGCAGCAGCAGCAGCAGCAGCAGCAGCAGCAGCAGCAGCAGCAGCAGCAGCAGCAGCAGCAGCAGCAGCAGCAGCAGCAGCAGCAGCAGCAGCAGCAGCAGCAGCAGCAGCAGCAGCAGCAGCAGCATCAGCAGCAGCAGCAGCAGCAGCAGCAGCAGCAGCAGCAGCAGCAGCAGCAGCAGCAGCAGCAGCAGCAGCAGCAGCAGCAGCAGCAGCAGCAGCAGCAGCAGCAGCAGCAGCAGCAGCAGCAGCAGCAGCAGCAGCAGCAGCAGCAGCAGCAGCAGCAGCAGCAGCAGCAGCAGCAGCAGCAGCAGCAGCAGCAGCAGCAGCAGCAGCAGCAGCAGCAGCAGCAGCAGCAGCAGCAGCAGCAGCAGCAGCAGCAGCAGCAGCAGCAGCAGCAGCAGCAGCAGCAGCAGCAGCAGCAGCAGCAGCAGCAGCAGCAGCAGCAGCAGCAGCAGCAGCAGCAGCAGCAGCAGCAGCAGCAGCAGCAGCAGCAGCAGCAGCAGCAGCAGCAGCAGCAGCAGCAGCAGCAGCAGCAGCAGCAGCAGCAGCAGCAGCAGCAGCAGCAGCAGCAGCAGCAGCAGCAGCAGCAGCAGCAGCAGCAGCAGCAGCAGCAGCAGCAGCAGCAGCAGCAGCAGCAGCAGCAGCAGCAGCAGCAGCAGCAGCAGCAGCAGCAGCAGCAGCAGCAGCAGCAGCAGCAGCAGCAGCAGCAGCAGCAGCAGCAGCAGCAGCAGCAGCAGCAGCAGCAGCAGCAGCAGCAGCAGCAGCAGCAGCAGCAGCAGCAGCAAGCAGCAGCAGCAGCAGCAGCAGCAGCAGCAGCAGCAGCAGCAGCAGCAGCAGCAGCAGCAGCAGCAGCAGCAGCAGCAGCAGCAGCAGCAGCAGCAGCAGCAGCAGCAGCAGCAGCAGCAGCAGCAGCAGCAGCAGCAGCAGCAGCAGCAGCAGCAGCAGCAGCAGCAGCAGCAGCAGCAGCAGCAGCAGCAGCAGCAGCAGCAGCAGCAGCAGCAGCAGCAGCAGCAGCAGCAGCAGCAGCAGCAGCAGCAGCAGCAGCAGCAGCAGCAGCAGCAGCAGCAGCAGCAGCAGCAGCAGCAGCAGCAGCAGCAGCAGCAGCGCAGCAGCAGCAGCAGCAGCAGCAGCAGCAGCAGCAGCAGCAGCAGCAGCAGCAGCAGCAGCAGCAGCAGCAGCAGCAGCAGCAGCAGCAGCAGCAGCAGCAGCGCAGCAGCAGCAGCAGCAGCAGCAGCAGCAGCAGCAGCAGCAGCAGCAGCAGCAGCAGCAGCAGCAGCAGCAGCAGCAGCCAGCAGCAGCAGCAGCAGCAGCAGCAGCAGCAGCAGCAGCAGCAGCAGCAGCAGCAGCAGCAGCAGCAGCAGCAGCAGCAGCAGCAGCAGCAGCAGCAGCAGCAGCAGCAGCAGCAGCAGCAGCAGCAGCAGCAGCAGCAGCAGCAGCAGCAGCAGCAGCAGCAGCAGCAGCAGCAGCAGCAGCAGCAGCAGCAGCAGCAGCAGCAGCAGCAGCAGCAGCAGCAGCAGCAGCAGCAGCAGCAGCGGCAGGTTGAGGAGAAGAAGCAGCAAGAGCAGGAGCAGCAGGGGCGAGTACCAGTGGGGCAGCTGGAGAGGAGCAGCAGCGAGGGCTTTGCCATGCGGCGGCGGCATCTGCTGGTGGTGCGCGGGCGCACGCGGTCCCTGGAGTGCATGGGGGCGCGACAGGCCCAGGAGTGGGCCGGTGCACGCTCAGAGCACACTGGGGACGCGCAGGGCGGGCGGAGAGAGGGCGATGCGAGGGGCACAAGCGGCACCACAGGCAGCAGAGCAGCAGTGGCGGGCAGAGAGGGTGGTGGTGGGGATGGTGGCGAGGAGAGCCGGCAGGGGAGCAGCAGCCCTGGGGTGGAGGTGCCTTGCCTGCCATCGTGGAGCCCACGCAGTGGCAGTGGGGCGCGCATGGCAGGCAGTCCGCGCACAGAGGGGGGCATGGGAGGCACGGGAGCCATGGGGGGCACGGGAGGCATGGGGGGCATGGGAGGCAGAGCAGCAAGCAACGAGCCCAGAAGCCCCCATGCACAAGCAGGTGCGGCTCGTGCTGCTGCTGGTGGTGGTGGTGGTGGTGGTGGTGGTGGTGGTGGTGGTGGCACGGACAGTGGTGGCGTGGAGGCGAGTGTGGCGAAGCTGAGCCGCGTGGTGGAGAGGGAGGATGAGGGGTTGAGTGAGGATGATGCCCCCGCCGCCCGCACAGCGCAGCAGAGCAGGAGAGGGGCGCGTGTGCTGCGAGGCAGCGCTGGGCGGCTATCGGTGGAGGGCAGCGTGGCGGAGCTGCAAGGGGCGCGTGCAGGCGGTGAGAGGGAGCAGGGCGGCGCTGGTGTGCTGAGGGAGCAGGGCGCAGGGCAGGGTGTGGGGAGGGCGAGAGGAGAAGAGGAGCGGTTGAAAGGACTGAGTGCATGTGAGGAGGACGAGAGAGAGGAGTTGGGACAGAGAGGCCGGAGCGGGTGGCAGGGCCCTCCCTTGTCAGCGAGTGCGAGTGGGTGGTCGACGGAGGCAGCAGCTGAGATGCGCCCCAGCGTGAGCTTCAAGGAGAATCTCTCTGCACGCCACCGTGAGGAGGGGGAGCCCTTGCAGGCAGCACTGGGCAATGCCAGCCCTGACCCCTGTGAGGCACTCAGTCGTGGCGGTTCGAGCAGCGGTAGTGGGGATGCAGCCACAGCTACAGCAGAGGCGGCATCAGGCAGCAGGGCGGGTGCATGCGGGTTGTTGGGACGACAGAGGCAGCTGCGAGTGCAGCACCTCACCTTCCAGCTGCCTGACGACACCTCCCCTGCGCACTCGCCCTCCACCCCCACCTTTGACTCGCGCCGCCCCTCCCTCAAGCCGCCTGCTCATGCACCTGCGCCCGCTGCCCCCTCCGCCATCTCACCGCGCCCGCCTGTGTCCCCGCGGCGGCCTTACGGGGACGCGGCTGAGCCGAGCACCATGGAGGCCATCTACGCGCGCATCCAGGCCCAAGCTGCCGCCTTGCGCCCCCTCGCCCCCACGCGCTCGCCCTCCACCGCCGCCGCTGCAGGCGACGGCGCGCGCAGCTTGGCGCGCGGGAGGGAGCCGCCCGCCCTGGACGTGCCGTCCACACCTTCGTCCTCCGCACGCCGCGCTGCTGGAGGGGGCCTGCTGCGCCAGAAGTCAGGCGGGATGGCGCTGCTGCAGCGGCAGGGCACAGGGGTGGGGCGGCAGGGCGGGGGGCTGGTGAGGCAGGGCACGGGGCTGGGGCGGCAGGCGAGTGTGAAGCTGAAGCAGAAGCCGGTGCGCGCGGCGAGCCCGCGGGCCATGCTGTCGGCGGTGGCGCTGAACATCCTGCTGGCGGACGACAGCGTGGTGAACCAGAAGGTGGCGGTGCGCTTCCTCAAGAAGAAGGGCATGGTGGCGGACGCCGTGGGCGACGGCGCTCAGGCCATCCAGCGCCTCTACCCCAAGGATGGCGGCATCTCCCCCTACGACCTCCTGCTGCTCGACGTGCAGGTGCGACCTCCTGCTGCTCGACGTGCAGGTGCGACCTCCTGCTGCTCGACGTGCAGGTGCGACCTCCTGCTGCTTGACGTGCAGGTGCGACCTGCTGCTGCTCGACGTGCAGGTGCGACGTGAAAAAGGAGTGTTTTGAGACGTCTCAAAACACTCCTTTTTTCACGTGTTTTGAGACGTCCCAAAACACTCCTTTTTTCACGCTGCTCGACGTGCAGGTGCGACTTCCTGCTGCCACACGTGCAGGTGAGCCGACAGCCGTGCGTGGTGCACGTTTGCCAGATCTATGCAGGTGAGAGATACCGTCAGCTTGGAGGGCGAAATCCCAAATCATACGGTCTGAAGGAAGTAATAGTCACCAGTGTATCCCTTTCTTACTTGTAATATTCATTCTTGTGTGTGTGTGTGGTTGGTTGAGCGTGGGGCCCGGGGCGCAGATGCCAGTGATGGACGGACTTCAAACAGTGCGGGTTATTCGTGAGAAGGAGACGGCAGAGAAGCTTCCCCACCTTCCAGTCATTGGTACGCTGCTGCTGCATTCGTGTCCCTTTAACATGCTACTTACATGGCTGTGCCCATGTTGCTCATGTGTCACAGTACATGGCTTACATGTTCATATGTGCCAACCCAAACCCCTGGCTGTAGCCTCATGTCCCTCGGCTGTGGAGGGAGCTGGTGCATGCCTGAGTGCGATCTCGCCCCCCCCTGCCTGTGTGAGCAGGGCTGACAGCGCATGCGGCCGACGTGTACCGCGACCAGTGCATCTCCGCCGGCATGGACGGCTTCGTCTCCAAGGTAACCGCACGCACTCTCCGCAACTCCTCCCCACTTGCTCCCCTCCCGCGCTTCACCCTCTCTCTGTGGATGCATGGATACACAGTGATGCCTTCCTGGATTCGCACATGTAGAAGCATGCACGGACACACAATTCGCACCCCATGAAACTGCACACACGCAGGCAAGCAAGCACACAGTTTAACAGTCCTGAGCACAGCATTGAGTTATTGATCCATTTACTGATCCAGCTACTGATCCAGTTACTAATCCATTTTCCAAATTTCCTCCCTTTCCCACCAGCCATTCACTGTGAATCAGCTGTTGAGCATGATGCAGTCTGTGCTTGAAAAGTATTCGCATAAACGATTGCCACCTGAAGCTATGGCATCGTAACAGGCAGCACCCTTATAGGCTATTTATAGTTGAAAAATTCCTTGCAAGAGTACCCTTGTCCAATCATGGTTTAGATTTTCTATTGCAAGAGTAACACTGCCCAACTACCGTATCACCCCGGATGGTAGCGTATAAGCACTTATAATAATATCTGTTTTTTTTAAGGGGGGCGCTTCTAATTGAGTATGGGGCATAAGCGCATGTGCTTATAAAATCACAAATATAGTTCATATTATTTTTGCACCTGCATCTTAGGGCGTGTTACATTTTTTACTTCAGCCCGTCCGGACCAGGCCCCACGTTATCAGGGCAAAACATCCTGATTACCCTGAATTCAGGATGCAGTTTTGAATTTACCCTGTCATTTCAGAATAGTGTAATTTTTTACCCTGAGGTCTCAGGATGTTGTTATATGAAATGCCCTGAACATTCAGAATGGCTGTAGTGTTCTTCTCTGTAGCGTCAGGATGAATGCAGAGGCCTGCCCTGACGCGTTTTTTGTTGGGGGGGGGGAGGAGTCCCGTACCTGGGGAAATTTTCCCCGGGGATTTTTGTCTCCGTAGGCAACACGTCTTTTAAAAGTCATTCATCCATCCAACCATCCAGAAGTGGCCTAGTCAGTAGAAAGGTACTTTCGATAGATGAGGTCCTGGGACCGAACCCACCCCCGTGTAGGCGTATTCATTCTTCAACTTTAACTCTATCAACCAACCAATCTGAACCCTGAACACAGGGTTTTTTGCCCTGACAGGTCAGGATTGATTTCTGAAAAAGCCCTGAACATACAGGAAGGCTTCAAAAATTTGCTCTGACAAATCAGGGCATTTTTTACGATTCTGGAAAGGTGCCCTGAGGCCTCAGGGTGCCCCAAGTCCTAGCACGGGCCCTGGTCCGGACTGGCAGTCGTCCGGACTTTTGTGTGGTTACCTTTTTCGTTGTGTTTCGTGAATTTCCTCGCTAAACCACTTGCGACGTCGTTAACGATCGGACCGGTGATGGAACATTTTGCGCGAATTGCCTTCCCAAATCGACCGGACGATTACAGTTCGATTAGTGGACGGACGTAACAGTAACGCAAATTCATTGGTCAGCGATTGAAGTCTTCAAGTCGCTTTGGTGTTACCTTTCTCGTAGTCTGTTCGTAATTGTGGTTACAACCTCGCAAACATTCGAATTTTCGTCAGGTTGAAAATGTTTCATCTACAACGTCGGACGAGGTTTAGTCCGGACGTTGGACTCGTACTGCCCGAGATTCGGAATCTGAACCGTTCTCGGACAGTTGTCTGGACTTTAGCCAGTTTTAAAAAATGTAACACGCCTTTATTCTTGCGATTCCAATCGAGTTGAAGTTTCATAGCGTCAGGAATCAAAATCGCACGCACGAGATTCCCTGCCAAACCTCAGGGGCAAAGACACGTCAGTTTGCCCCAATGACATCTCAATAAAAACACAACTCCTTTAGCGAATGAAGCCTTGGCCTTTGAAGCCATCGCTCGCATGCCGATCAGGGCTGACGTTTCATTTTGGGCCTCCCTGATTTCGGGAAAAAATTCCCCCCTGTATTATGAGGGCACATTTTTCAGAGGTTTGCTACTCTGATTGGTCAGTGTCCAACAACGTCTCACTCTGATTCGTCAGGGTTCAGAGCAAGAAATCAGTGTTGCAGTCAATCACACAAATTTCTCCCACGCGGATTATACATTTCCCACGCCTCACTTCCTAGCCGGTCAAAGTCAACAGAAAACGATATCGCGTGGTGTCTGCGACCCTCAGCACACGCGAAAGTACAGTGCACGTTCACCATCAACCACAGTTTGCAGACGGTGAGCGAAACACCTCGAAACAACCCCCAAAAAAATTGGCGCCAAGAAAGGCGACAAAACAGCACATCGCACGAACTGGCGATGGTGTAACCCCCTTCCTTAGGAGAATTCCGCATGCATTGCAATCTGCAAACATTCACTCCAGCCACCGCCATGAATGTCGTTCGATTGCTTTCGCGTGGGCGAATCTAAAGGCACATGAGATTCGCCCTGTCAGAGCAAATTCGCACAAGAAATTTGCTCTGTCAAGGACAAGAGATTCCCTCTGACACAACAGATCTGCTGTGTCAGAGGTGTTCTGCCGAAAATCCCCGCAACACGCTGCGCCTCGCACGACACCACAAACATCCACCCCACCCCACCTTCCCCCCAAACATCCACCCCACCTTCCCACATGGGTGTTACTTGTCGGTATTACTGTACAGAAAGGGCTACCTCACATGGGTACAAGCGAAATCATGATTAGGCACATGGGGGGTTATTGGGAGGAAACTTCTGGGAATCTTCGTCCCGATACCCTCGCATTCAGGGTCCACAGAACACGTACTCTACATTGACAGAGTCAGTAAGAACACTACTCTGAGCCAAGATGAAATATTTCATGGTTCGCTAAAGCACTATTCTGAATGGATCATTGTTCACAAGTCAGAAATTCTGAAATTGCAGGGACCACCAGGTGAGAAGCATGTAATCACCCTGAAATCAGGGTAATTACGCTGATGAAATCAGCCCTGATGCCGATGCGCTCAAGATTCTCATGCAAATGCCAGCTTGGGATAGCTTTGGCGAGCATGTCGGCATCTTGGAGGTGGGAGCGTACTGAGTGCACCTCGACCTCCTTCTGGCGCACCGCGTCTCGTACAAAGTGCCAAGCCACCTTAATGTGCTTCGTGCGCTGATGGAGAACAGGATTGTGGGCAAGGGAGACAGCAACCTCATTATCACAAAACAACGGAATAACCCCCCCATCGCCCAGATGCAACTCTGCCAACAAACTCCTCAACCAAATGGCCTCCTTGGCCCCCTCCGATAGAGCCTCATACCCATCCAACGACCCAAATATTGTTGCATATTCGAGTGGCCCAGGTTCAAAAACATATACCAGAGCAACTTCAGCTTGGTTCGCACACCCAGAAAAGTTCGGCGCCCGCGACGACGGCCGTGCCTGCTCTCAAATGCTAAGGAAGCGCACGGATCCCTATAGGCGTAGGGGAATGCATCCAACGACCCGAATATTGTTGCATATTTGGGTGGCCCATGTTTAAATACGTCTACCAGAGCAACTTCAGCCTGGTTCGTGCGCACGGAAAAGTTCGGCGCCCGCGACGACGGCCGTGCCTGCACACAAATGCTATGGAAGCGCAAGGATCCCTATACGCGTAGCGAAAAGCGCTCAACGACCCGAATATTGCAGCATATTCGGGTGGCCCATATTCAAATACACCTACCAGAGCAACTTCAGCCTGGTTCGCGCTCACGGAAAAGTTCGGCGCCCGCAACGACGGCCGTGCCTGCACACAAATTCTAAGGAAGTGCACCGATCCCTATACGCGTAGGGAAAAGCGCTCAACGACCCGAATATTGTGCATATTCGGGTGGCCCATATTCAAATACACCTACCAGAGCAACTTCAGCCTGGTTCGCGCGCACGGAAAAGTTCGGCGCCCGCAACGACGGCCATGCCTGCACACAAATGCTAAGGAAGTGCACCGATCCCTATACGCGTAGGGAAAAGCATCCAACGACCCGAATATTGTTGCATATTCGATTGGCCCATGTTCAAATAAACCTATCAGAGCAACTTCAGCTTGGTTCGCGCGCACAGAAAAGCTCGGCGCCTGCGATGACGGTCGTGCCTGCCCACAAATGCTAAGGAAGCGCACGGATCCTTATAGGCGTAGGGAAAAGCATCCAACGACCCGAGTAGTCTTGCATATTTGGGTGGCCCATGTTCAAATACACCTATCAGAGCAACTTCAGACTGGTTTGCGCGCACAAAAAAGTTCGGCGCCCGCGATGACGGCCGTGCCTGCCCACAAATGCTAAGGAAGCGCACGGATCCCTATAGGCGTAAGGAAAAGCATCCAACGCCCCGAATATTGTTGCATATTCGGGTGGCCCATGTGCAAATACATCTACTAAAGCAACTTCAACTTGGTTCGTGCGCACAGAATCGTTCTGCGCCCACGACGACGGCCGTGCCTGCCCACAAATGCTAAGGAAGCGCACGGGTCCCTATAGGCGTATGGAAAAGCATCCAACGACCCGAATATTGTTGCATATTCGGGTGGCCCATATTTAAATACACATACCAAAGCAACTTCAGCTTGGTTCGCGCGCACAGAAAAGTTCGGCGCCCGCGACGACGGCCGTGCCTGCACACAAATGCTAAGGAAGCGCACGGATCCCTATGGGCGTAGGGAAAAGCATCCAACGACCCGAATATTGTTGCATATTCGGATGGCCCATATTGAAATAGGCCCACCATAGCAACTTCAGCTTGGTTGATGCGCACGAAAAAGTTCGGCGCCCGTGACGACAGCCGTGCCTGCACACAAATGCTAAGGAAGTGCACGGATCCCTATAGGCGTAGGGAAAAGCATCCAACGACCCGAATATTGTTGCATATACGGGTGGCCCATGTTCAAATAGACCTACCAGAGCAACTTCAGCTTGGTTCGCGCGCACAAAAAAGTTCGGCGCCCGTGACGACAGCCGTGCCTGCACACAAATGCTAAGGAAGCGCACGGGTTGTGAAAGAACAAGGAATGAATGAACTAGCAAGAAGGTGGGTACAAGTAG